CTATCCAAAGGGCTATAAAACTGTGCATACCCTTTGACCCAGCAATAGCACTTCTAGGGCTGTATCCACATGTACAAAAATATTTGTAGCAGCACTTTCTGTAGTGACAAAGAATTGGAAATTGAGGAGATGCCTATCAGTTGAGGAATGGCTAAATAAGTTGTGGTATATGAATGTAATGGAATACTACTGTGCTATAAGAAACAATGAGCAGGCAGACTTCAGAAAAACCCGGGAAGACTTGTATGGTATGATGCTGAGTGAAGTGAGCAGAACCAGCAGAACATTGTACACAGTAACAGCCATGTTGTGCAATAGCTAATATTGATAGACTTAACTGTTCTCAGAAATACAAGGATCTGAGACATCTTCAAAGGCTTCACGATGAAAAATGCTATCCACATCTAAAGAAAGAACTGTGGAGTTTGAATGCAGATCGAAGCATACTATTCGCTATTTTTTTTCTTGTGTTTTGTTTTGTTTCCTCTTTCTTGTGGTTACTTCTATTGGTTCTAATTATTCCTTACAATATGATTAATGTGAAAATATGTTTAATAGGAATGTATATGTATAGTAGCCTATATCAGATTGCATGCTGTCTCTGGGAGGGAGAGGGAGAAAAATTTAAAACTATAAAGCTTATGGAAATGACTGTTGATAAATAAAAATAACTTAATTTTTTAAAATGTGAGCAATTTGCCTGGAAGATGAGCAAAGTGTGTAAAAAAAAGTCAGACTACGCAGTCTTTTTCGGTGACAAGATCAAAACATACAAGCAGAAGAAGACAACAAAGTCAAAGCTCCTACATCCAAAGCCTCCAAGAAAAATATAAATCAGTCTTAGGACATGGAAGAGCTCAAAAAGTATTTTGAGAAGCAAGTAAGAGAAGTGGAGGAAAAACTGGGAGAGAAATGAGAGATTTTCTACAAGAAAATCATGAAAAACAAGTCAACAGCTTGCTAAAGGAGACCCCCCCAAAAAAAATACTGAAGAAAATAACACCTTATAAATAGTGTAACCCAAATGCCAAAGAGGTCCAAAAAACCAATGAGAAGAATATCTTCAAAAGCAGAATTGGCCTGATGGAAAAGGAAGTCCAAAAGCTCATTGAAGAAAATACTTCCTTAAAAATTAGAATTGAGCAAATGGAAGTTAATGACTTTATGAGAAATCAAGACACTATGAAACAAAACCAAAGGAATGAAAAAAAGAAGACAATGTGAAATATCTCATTGGAAAAACAACTGACCTGGAAAATACATGCAGGAGAGATAATTTAAAAATTATTGGACTGTCTGAAAGTCTGATCAAGAAAAAAGCCTTGACATCATCTTTCAAGAAATTATCAAGGAAAATTGCCTTGATATTCTAGAACCAGAGGGCAAAATAGAAATTAAAAGAATCCACCTATCACCTCCTGAAAGAGATCCCCAAAGGAAAACTCCTAGGAATATTGTATCCAAATTCCAGGAGATTTCAAGGAGAAAATATTGCAAGTAGCCAGAAAGAAACAATTCAAGTATTGTGGGAAGACAATCAGGATAACACAAGATTTGGCAGATTCTACATTAAGGGACTCAGGGCTTGGAATATGATATTCTGGGGGGCAAAGGAGATAGGATTACAGCCAAGAATCACCTACCTAGCAAAAGTGGGTAATCCTTCAGGGGGAAAAATGGACATTCAGTAAAATAGAGGACTTGCAAGCATTCTTGATGAAAAGACCAGAGCTGAATAGAAAATTTGACTTTCAAATACAAGACTCAAGAGAATCATGAGGAGCTAAAAAGGAAAGAGAAATCATAAGGGACTTATTAAGGTCAAACTGTTTACATCCCTACATGGAAAGATGATATTTGTAACTCATGAGAGCTTTCTCAGTATTAGGGTAGTTGGAGGGTAAAAATTATATGTAAGATAGATAGATAGATAGATAGATGTAGATACAGATATAGTTATAAATATAGATAGATAGAGGGCACAGGGTGAGTTGGAAATGAAGGGGTGATATCTGGAGAAAAAAATTAAGGGGTAAGAGAGGATTATACTGGGAGAAAGAGAAAGGGAGAGGTAGAATGGGGCAAATTATCTCACATAATAAAACAGACCAAAAAAAAAGGTTTTTTCAGTGGAGGAGAAGCGGGGGGAGGTGAGATGGAATGAGTGAATCTTTTTCTCATTGCATTTGACTTAAGGAGGGAATAACATACACACTCATTTAGGTATGGAAATCTGTCTTACCCTGCAGGAAAGTAGGAAGGAAGGGGATTAGAGAGCAGGGGGATGATAGAGGGGTAGGCAGATTAGGGGAGGGGATAATCAGAAGCAAACACTTCTGAGGAGGGACAGGGTCAAAAGAGAGAATAGAATAAATGTGGGGGCAGGATAGGATGAAGGGAAATATAGTTAGTTTTTCACAACCTGACTACTGTGGAAATGTTTTGCATGACTACACATGTATAACCTTTATCGAATTGCTTGCCTTCTTAGTGAGTGTTGGTGGGGAGGGAGGAAGGGACAAATTTGGAACCCAAAGTTTTAAAAACAAATAAAAAGACTAGTTACAAAGGACTCAATAAGGACGGACTTATTTGTATTTATATGAAAAATGTAACTTGTATATCTAAGATTGTTATTAGTAATTGGGTAGTTCAGGAGAAAGTTTGGGGCAGACCAGTTATAATGTGATTCTAAAAATAAAACCATTTAGGAAAAGCTAGAAAGAATAATTATCTTATACTAATGAAATAACTGACAGAGAAGAATTAGATGGAGGAGGAGGGCTGGAACTCTCCTCTCATCAGGAATGGATTAAAGAGGGAGCAATACATATCTTTCTAGAAGGGTATAAAAGTCTTCACTATTCAGAAAGAAATAAAAGGCTAAGGGGATAGGGAGATGGAAGAGGAAAAGCGAGGGATTTTTAGAGGGAACCCTATTCACCTCACATCTGGATTTAGAAGGGAATAAAAGCTTTCTAAATTTATAAAGAAATAAGGGGGTGAGGGAATAGGATGGGGGGTAGAGAAGGGTATCTAGATCAACAGGAATGGGATAAAGAGGGGATAGCATATATTTGGAAGGCTATAAAAGTCTTCAAAATTCATATAGAAATAGGGTTAGGGAAAGGGTTGAGGGGGAGGATAAGGGAGAAATCTTTGAGGGGGGTGCATTAAGTAATAGGAGGGCAAGGTAGCAGGTAGAAGTGAAGTAGAGGTGCCAGGAGGGATGGGAAATAAGAGATACACAGAAATATAAAATATAGATGAGGAGTAGAATGTGTTAGGGGAAAAAAGTGGAAGTTGTAATCATGATCTCAGACAAAGTTAAAACTAAAATGTTGCACCAGTAGTCAAAGAGATTCAGAAAAAAAAATGTCAAAATGAGAGAAAGGCAAATAATTTTGTTGGTGTAGAAAATTATGCCATTGGGATGCTCTGCCATCAACTCCATACAAGTTTTTTAGAGCTTTCTATTCCACTCTCCAGTGCCTACATATGTAGTAATGCCACAATTCCAAAAACAAACAAACAAACAAACAACAAAACAAACAAACAAAAAAGACATTAAATGATTCCTGGCTGTGGACACATTGTCCTAAGGAATAGACATATATATAAAGAACACTTTGGGGGTGGGGGTAAAATGTATTGAGTCACTCAGGAAAATAAAATAAAGTAATTCATCCTAGGACAAAATGGCAGTGTACTTAATGCTTACTCTCTTAAAATCTTAATGTATTTTTAAAAATTTAATCAAGTATGTTGTAAGTGTAGCTGTGTTGTGATTATCCACTCTGGCCCTGAGCTAAGGAGAATTCTCAGATCTCAGAAACACAGAAGTCAAGAGAGATCAATGTACACTTTTTTTGTGTGTGTATAATGGCATTTAGAACCCTTTTAAGGAGATCATTAGCCTGATTTCATTTTGCTTAAACTAATACATGTTATTTGCCTCCTCTTACCCCCAACTATTTCTGTTTAAAAAGGAAAGAGATTAAAATATTAATGTGTAATGAATACCAAAGGAAGTAAAAATTTTTGGAGGTATATCTGTTATTAATTTGGAAGTAATCTGTTAGTTGGGGCTAACAAAAATTTAAATTAATTGTTTTTTACAAGGTAATCAACTCCATACAAGTTTTTTAGAGCTTTCTATTCCATTCTCCAGTGCCTACATATGTAGTAATGCCACAATTCCAAAAAAAAACCCAACAAAACAAATAAACAAAAAAAGACATTAAATGATTCCTAGTTGTGGACACATTGTCCTAAGGAATAACATACATACATAAAGAACACTTTGGAGGGGGGGTAAAATATATTGAGTCACGCAGGAAAATAAATGACTACTCTTCCATGCTACATTTTTATAAGAAGGCACAAAGAACTTAATGAGATAACAAAAGAACATCAGAAAAAGTAATGAGGTTGAAGTATTTCTTTTTGTTTTAAATTAAGAATTAACTTTGGAAACTAAATGTTTGAAGATAAAGAAAAGGCTAAACCTATCTTTAAGACCTTCTTTAGGACTATTAGAACTTGTCTAATGGGTACAACACAATGCTATTCTAACAGTAATTATAAGAACAAAGAAATTTCTATTTTGATTTCAGCTGGAAGCAGCTACACCTATTTGATCAAGATGATTTGTGGTCACTTGTCAGCACTTACTTCCTCTTTTGTTTAAAGAGGCAAAGTAGCTCATTGATCTACTTTTTACACTGTCAGGTATTCTGCAGAGAATTTCCCAGGTAGAGACTTAGTAGATAAATATTGTACTTCTGACAATCAACTAGCTAAGCTATGGTGGGATCTAGCATTTACAAATAGAGTTTAATTAATTATCTTCACTTTGAAAATAAGATTATATTCACTAACTCAAGTGAAGTTTTGTTGTCATCATTAATAATATAGGTTTCCATAGGAATTAGAATAAAAGAAAAAAGGCCCTTTTACTCATTTTGCTTTTTCTTTCTTTTTTATCTTCCCCATTTCAGCATAAAGAACGTAACTCCAAAAGTAGGAGATCCTGAAACACGTAAAGCTATTCGCCGTGCCTTTGATGTATGGCAGAATGTAACTCCTCTGACATTTGAAGAAGTTCCCTACAGTGAATTAGAAAATGGCAAAAGGGATGTGGACATAACAATCATTTTTGCATCAGGTTTTCATGGAGACAGTTCTCCCTTTGATGGAGAGGGAGGCTTTTTGGCACATGCCTACTTCCCTGGACCAGGAATTGGAGGAGATACTCATTTTGATTCAGATGAACCATGGACCCTAGGAAATCCTAATCATGATGGTAAGCACAAATTTTAATTTTAATTTTATTATCTTTCTTTCCTTTCCCATGTTTCCTGCATTTTCCTTTTCCTTCCTTCCTCCCTTTATTCCTGCCTTCTTTCCTTCTTTCTTTCCTTCCTTCCTTCCACAGGGAGTTGTATCACAAAAGTAATAGATATTCTTTCATAATCTTCTTTGAACTTATTTTGCCCAAGTGATTGGTGAAACAGACTATGATTTTCATGTTCATTGTTAACTTTAAATAATTATAAGTGTGTGTTCCACTAGTTCTAAGAGCCTTTGTTATGTGTACATTTCCTATCCTCATGTTTTTGTGCAGTAACTTGAAAACGCTTCAATATTTCATTAGATCTAAAATTTATCAATATGTCTATTTCCCCTCAAAGATTCAGTTTGCTACCCATTTCCACCTGATGAAACTGTAAATATCTTTTCTGTGGCATTCCATAAATCCTCTATGGAGGATCTATCTAATGTGCTAAAGGCTTTCTCTAGGTGTTTTAACATTTCGTGGATAAAGACTAAGTCAGGCTATCCATCTGATTTCTTTCATTTTCTTTTCATGATTCACCCAGACTTTCTTCTAATCATGTATTTCTTGTACACACTATGCACTTTTAAAGTATTTGTTAAATTTAATTGAATTGTTAGTGATTAAAATGAGGAATTAACATATTAACTTGCATACTTTACCTTTTGGACCTTACTCCTCAATTTTGCTTGTCTCATTAAGATAATAATAGAAATTGGGATAAAGAAAGGGATACGTCCTATGGTTTCATTGGGATGGAGAAGTCCCAGAGGAGAAATCTCCCTCTAATAACATAGGGTGACCCTGTTTCTGAAAATTGCGTTATTGATCATTTATGTAACATTTTGAGGTTTATAAATTGTGTTGCTTCAACAAGAACATAAGGTACAAAGTGAAAATATTATTATTCACATTTTACAGAATAGAAACTAAGGCTCAAGAGCTCAAGTGATTTGCCCAAAGTCACACATGACTTCTAGGAGACAGGGTTGGTACTGAACTTCAGGTCCTCAGGTTCCATGTCCTAGACGTTCTCTTTTCTAACATTTTGTGCTGCATTTCAAATGATAGAATTAATTTTTACTTATCCTTTGTGTTATCTTCACATGGACATTTTGAATTTTTCTTAAATATCTAAACATATACTTATATGTTTCCCTACTTTTAAAATAAAATGAATGTTTATCAATGTTTTCCATCTCAATTATATTAAACTCAATGAATGTCTTCTGTTAATATAACTATTATTAATGTGCTAAAATGGAATTGAAACTCTTGGTAAGAGATTATGAGTATTGCATAATTGTGTATTTTTTGCTGTAAATTAAAAGAATAGTAGCATGATGGTGGGAGTGAATTAAATAATTAACAGGAAAAAGTACAATCCTGATTTTCCATTTGAATTTTTGAGCCTCCAATTTTTCACCTGTGAAATGTGTAAAATAATTCTTACAAGATGTAAAATTGCTGAAATCATTACTAAGAAGAGAAATGAAAATTAAAAGAACTGTCTCATTTCTAATACCCATTAGATTGGCCAAGATAACCACAAAATATGATGTTTGTTGAAGGAATGTGGGAACAAGAATACTGATAAACTCTTGGTAAAGTAGTGAATCCAGTCATTCTAGAAAAGTTTATAAATAGATACCTAAAGTCATTAAGCTAGATAGACACTGCTATCCAGCAATACAACCACTAGGTGTATGCTATGAGGTATAGATGTCAAGAGGAATTAAAACATAGTAAGTTCACTGATTTTAAAATGGAAAATGTTATTATAATTGCATAGTTGGGGGTGATAGCTCATATTCAGGAGGCATAAGAGATTCATGTTGAGGTAAGAGCAACATCCTGGAACTCAAGAAGTCTGAGTTTCTCTTCCAGAATTCCCTTATGTATGAGATGTCTTAGGGTAAATCTTTAACCTGTTGAACCTTAATTTTCTGACCTGTGAGAGGAGGGTTTAAAACTTTTTTTAAGCTCTAATAGTATGTAGAAATTGGTGATAAGAAAATGGAGAGGAAAAGGAATAGTTCACTTCTTGGAGAAGTTTGGCAACAGGGCCAAAGAAAAATTTGTTTGTGTGCATGCATGCATGTGTGTTAAAATGAAGGAGGACAATGCAATTTTGAGAAAAGAAGGAGGAAAGTTAGAGAATGAGAGTTTTAATTAGCATCTGAATGTAGTTTCCCATGATATTTATATCTCAATTTCTGACCTAACGTACTCTGAGTTTTGTGTTACATCTCATTTTTCAAGTACTAAAACATGCTCATTGCTGCCATTCTCCCTCATTGAAAACTATTCTTTTTCCATTACACTACTCAACTAATCTTCCTTAAAGACCTAAGAAAAGTGAACAAAATCCTCTTAAATTTACATGCTATATTGTCTGATAATGATTTCACTTATGTTAATCTTGTCTTCCCAACTATATTGTAAGCCCCTTGAAGTTTATTTACATTTTACTCCTCAATTTCTTAGAGCCTGTGATAGCAGAGCACCTTCTCCAAAACTGACTCTATATCATCTTATTATTGATTCCAAGCTTCCATACAACCTATGTTTGGAGTTAGGAGGAGGGATTTTGCTTCTGGCATTGCATAAATGGGGAACTGAATGCTACTTTGTGTGTAGTATATCAGATCAGGTCTATTTTATTTCTAGTTATCTTGAAATGGCACTTCAGAACTGTGTAGAGTACATGTTTAGCCCAATTTTCTTTACCATATTGTTCTATCTTTATCACTCAGGACTCAGAGTTCCTGGCCCTTTGAAAGTCATAAGATGGGACATAGCCAAGTTGGCAGAGTAAAGACAGGACCTTGCCTGATCTCTCCCAAATTCTTCTCCAAACAATGTTAAAATAATGCCTCAAAACAGATTCTGAAGCAGTAGAACTGACAAAAAAAATGGAGTGAAACAATTTTCTTGTCCTAGACAACATTTTTCATGATTTTCTTGCATCACTCTCATTTCTTTTCTAATTCTTCCTCTAATTCTCTTACTTGATTTTTAAAATCATTTTGAGCTCTTCATTTGGCCAGAGGCAATTTACATTCTTTTGAGATCCCAAAATGAAAACTCTCAAGAATATTATAGCCAAATTCCAGAGCTCCCAGCTGAAGGAGAAAATATTAAAAGCAGTCAGAAGGAAACAATTTCAAGTATCATGGAGTTAGGATAACATAAGATTTAGCTGCTTCTACTTTAAAGGATTGGAGGCCTTGTAATATGATATTCTAGAAGGTAAATGAGCTGGAATTACAACCGCAAATCACCTGCTCAGATAAACATAATATAATCTTTCAGGGAGAAAATGGATATTTAATGAAAAAGAGAACTTTCAATCATTCTTCAGGAAAAGACCTGACTGAATAGAAAATTTGATTTTCAAATATAGAAGACTCAAGAATCACAAGGGACCTAATAAGGTTAAATAGTTCACATTCCTACATGGGAAAATTATACTTATAATTTGTAAGAACTTTCTCATTTTTAAAGCAGTTAGAAGAAGTATGTATAGCCAAAGGGCACAGGTGTGAACTGAATGTGAAGGGATGATATCTAAAAAATAAAAATAAAATTAAGAGATGAGAGAAGAATGTACTGGGAGAAAGGGAAATGGAGAGGTAAAATGGGGTAAAAGAGGCAAGAAAAATCTTTTACAGTGGAGGGGAAGGAGGGGGGAGGGGCAGTGAGTGAACCTTACTGTCATCAGAATTGGTTCAAAGAGAGAATAGCATTCACACTTAAGTGGGTATAGAAATCTATCTTACCCTACAGAAGAAGTAGGAAGGGAAAGAGATAAGAGAATGGGAGGGTGATAGAAGGGAGGGTAGATTAGAGGAAAGGGTAGTCATAAGCAAAATACTTTTGTGGAGGGTTAGGGTGAAAGGAGAGTGAGCATAGTGGGGGGATAGGATGGAGGGAAATACAGTTAGCAATTGTAACTGTGAAAAAAATTAGAAGTAAGTTTCTCTGATAAAGGTGTCATTTCTCAAACACGTAGAGAACTGAGTCAAATTTATAAAATAAAAGTCATTTTCCAATATATGAAAAAATGTTCTGACTCACCTATTGATTGGAGAAATGCAAATTGAAATAATTCTGAGGTATTACCTCATACCTATTAGATTGGATTATAGGATAGAAAAAGAAAATAACAAATGGTGTAAGGGATGTGGGAAAAATTAAACCTTAATGGATTGTTGTTGGAGCTGTGAACTGATTCAAGCGCTCAGTATAGCAATTTGAAACTATGTCCAAAGGACTATAAAACCACACATACCCTTTGACCTAGAAATTCCACTACTAAATCTGTATCCCAAAAGAGATGAAAAATGGAAAAGGAACTATATGTACAAAAATATTTATAGCAGCTCTTTTCTGGTGGCAAAGAATTGGAAATTGAGGGAATGCCCATCAATTGAGAAATGGCTGAACCAATTGTGGCGTGTGATTATGATGGAATACTATTATGCTATAAGAAATGATGAGCTGGATGTTCTCAGAAAAATCTGGAAAGACTTACAAGCTGATGGAAAGTGACATGTGCTGTGTACAAAGTAACAGCAATATTGTAAGATGATCAGCGGTGAATGACTTAGCCATTCTCAGCAATACAATGATCCAAGGCAACTCTGAAGGACTTATGATGAAAAATTCTATCTATCCCCAGAGAAAGAATGTTGATGTATAAATACAGATTGAAGCATCCCTTATTTTTCTTGAGATTTTTTTTGGTCTCTGTTTTCTTTCACCACATGACTAATATGGAAATGTTTTGCATGGCTACACATGTATAACCTTTATTGAATTGCATGCTTTCTCAGTGGGGAGAGGTGGGAAAAGAGGAAGGGAGAGAATTTGGGACTCAGTTTTAAAAACAAATGTTAAAAATTTTATACATATAATTAGGGAAAAATAAAATACTAAATAAATTCAAAAGAAAACAAAGACCT